ACCTCGACATTTTCGTATTAGGATTTTCGTCTTACTTTTTGCTCAGAAATACGCTATTAAAATTATGCAAAGGGCCTCGTCCGGATGGAATAATAATTGTAGTAGTCGTGCCTCTGGTCACGAACTCACAACAGAGTTTAAATATTTCCCGTGACAAAAGAAAAATCCCCCGCGCCTGGCGCCATGCGTGGCGGCGCGGGATAACCTCATTGTGTTCTCTGTTGCGTAATCATCAACAGCGTACTGGTCTTTTTCCGCGTATTTGGTGTAATTTTAGCATTATCATGTCGGATTCACATCGTCGCAAGAAGTCCAGATCTCCAAGTAAACGGAAGGAGAAATCGAGACATCATCGTCACTCACGAGAGCATGCTCGTAGCGAGAGACGCGATCGTTCACGCCCGCAAGGTTATGAACGTACTCGCGACCATAGCCCGGTTCGCTCTCGCAGCCGATCTCGCGCGCCCGAGGAAAGAAGTATTTTGGCTGAACTCCATCCCCAACTAGTTGCCCAAATTTCTGAACTGTGCAGAAATTTCCAAAACACATCTCCAGGGGAGGTTATACCGCCTACCACGAATCCTAGCGTTCAACCGCATTCAGAGCAGCAGCCACCAAAAGACACGCCGGTTCCCACGAACCGGGGCGATGCACCAGGTATGTCCCTTTGCCGACCCTGTTTTCCACGAAAGAAAAATGGATACAGAAGGGACATAGCCGATGTGTTCTTTTCGGCGCTCGCTCACTTTTCTTTTCATTCGCAGGCGGCCGATCGGTCTCTTTTAACGAACAGGAGCCTCCCTCGCAACCTTCGTTTTCGGCAGAGCTATTCGCAACTCAATCTGAAGTTCCCTCAGATATAGTATGGGACTCGACAATTTTAGATTTTGCACGCTCAACGGTACAGACAGGGCTTCCCGAGAATCTTCGCCGAGAACTTCTTCAGAAATATGAGGTTAGAGGCGACCTTGCGGCTTTGGGTCCACCTAAAATCAACAAACTACTGCTGCCGGCCCTGAAATCCTCATCGTCCACGGTGAAAAGAGACGAATACCAAACAGAGCGCCAGGCCCAACTCGCGGCAGCATTAAATGCTATTGGTTGCGGTACTTCAACTTTTTTAAAGCCGGAAGTTTTGGATTGCCTCCCTGAGGAAGGAAAACTGGCTATTCGCCAAATATCTGAGGGAATCCGCCTCAATGCGGATCTCCAGTATCGTCTCTCAATTGCTCGTAGAGCCTTTATCAAGCCAACGTTAACTCTGTTGGGAAAGTCAACGGCTGACTCTGCTCCCGTAGACGAATGGCTCTTTGGCAGTTCTTTTGCCGACGAAATCAAGGATGCCCAAGCGTGCGAAAAAGTTGCCCGTGGTCTAGTGAAGACAACGCCAGTCGCCCCCAAGGCCACTTCACAACAACCGAAGCGTTTTCAACCCCAGGCTGCTCCCACTACATCGGGAAATGCCAAGGCCCCCACTCGGTCGAGATTTCACTCCCGAGCGGGGGCTCGTCAAACCAGGGCCCGCTCGACACACCGGTCCAGATCGAAGTCTCGTGCCCACCACCGATAAACAGGGTAAGCGTCGCAGGTCGCCTGGCAAATTTCATCAATGAATGGAAGCGTATAACTTCAGATCCAAGGGTCTTACAGGCGGTCCAGGGGTACAAAATTCCCTTTGTAAAACCCCCAGAAATGCGCCCTTCTCTGACAGAACCGGTTTTCTCAGCCTCAACTTCACGTCATTGCGATTCTGAAATTGCCCGACTCTGTACTGCAGGGGCAAGTTACAGTGTCAAACCTTCACAGGATCAATTTCTGTCCCCGTTTTTTCTTATAGAAAAATCTAGTGGTGGAATGCGGTTCATTTTGAATCTCAAGGAGCTCAATTCTTACATGGATCCTCCGCATTTTAAATTGGAAGATTGGCGAACTGTGGTTCGCCTCATGCTTCCCGATTTTGAAATGTCATCCATCGACCTTGAAGATGCATACCTCGTCGTTCCAATACATCCTTCATATAGGAAGTTCTTGCGTTTTCAATGGAGGGGTACAACATATGAATGGGCTGCTCTTCCTTTCGGACTCGCCACCGCTCCATACATTTTTTCCAAGATCCTTCGACCAGCGATAAAATTATTGAGATCTCAAGGTTTTGACTCCGTTGTCTACCTTGACGATTTTTTACTGCTAGCTTCATCAAAACCTGCATGTCGGGATAATGTGCGAGCTCACCTGAAGCTACTCGGTGACCTTGGATTTGTCATCAATTACTCAAAATCAGAATTAGAACCGTCACGACAACGCAAATTTCTTGGCTTCATTTTTAATTCGGAGCAACAATCCGTATCAATCCCGAATGATCGCCGAAGAAAACTTTTCTCTCTCGTCGCAAAGTTCTCACCTGGTTCTACATGCACTATCAGAGACTTCGCAAGTATGATTGGCTCTCTGGTATCAATTTGTCCGGCAGTGCAATACGGACTCCTTTATACGAAATCTTTTGAGAGAGAAAAATTTTACAATCTCATTTCGGCCGAAAATAATTATGCTGCTAAGATGACAATCTCAAATTCATTGAAAAAGGATTACCTTTGGTGGTTAACCATTTTATCGGATAATTATCAAGCGAATCACATCCGCTCAGGTCCCTATGCTTGCGAGATTTTTACCGATGCATCTCTTTCGGGATGGGGAGCGTCTTGTTCTTTGCAGCGAACCCACGGTTGGTGACTGAAACTGACAAATCTCGCCACATAAATTATCTCGAACTCAAGGCCATTTTTTACGCCCTGAAATGCTTCGCCAAAGACCTCAGCGACTGTGACATCCTGCTTAGAGTGGATAATACCACAGCAATCTCGTAGATTAACAGATTCGGCTCGGTTCAACACCTTCACCTCTCCTCATTGGCCAAGGAGATTTGGCAGTGGTGCGAGGCCAGAAATCTTTTCCTTTTCGCCTCTTATATTGCCTCAGGAGACAATGTTATTGCCGATGAAGAGTCTCGCCAACAGGTTCCAGATACTGAATGGTCCCTTTCGGCTAGGGCCTTCAATTCGATTTTGCGAGAGTATGGGCCGTTTGACATCGATCTTTTTGCCTCGGTACTCAATGCCAAGTGTTCAATTTACGTGTCCTGGTTCCCAGATCCGGGTGCTTGGACGATTGATGCATTTACCCTCGCTTGGGAAAATTTC